TGTCTGTCTGTCTGTCTGTCTGTCTGTCTGTCTGTCTGTCTGTCTGTTTGTCTGTCTCTCTCTCTACAAAGATCACTTCAATTTTGCGCGCTGAGACCTGCAAAAGGACCCCGGGGTCTGGCTTTGGCGCGCGAGTTTGTTTGAAACCCATCGCACCACCGGGGACTTTCTCGAGGCGATGCGCACTTCCAGAAGCTGGAGACGACGGTGTCTGAGAAGCCCTTCGAGCCGTTGGGGGACATCTGTCCCGAGGTGCGATGATGGTTCAGCGGCAATTTTCCGCACCAGTGATGGTTATTGTTGGGCGGTCCAAACTCCAACCAAAGTCCGGACCGATGCCGAACCACCCGACCGCGCCCCCGCGCCACCGCGCCTCCGGCCTCCGCCCCCTATACCGCCCCGACCGCGCGCGCTCTAGGCCGAGATCGAGCAGAAGGTCAGCATCGTCTCCTCCGAGTCCTCGGCTCCCCAGATCCACGGCTGCGACGGAAGACGTGTGGAGAACGGGGAGGAGAACGGGCGGTCCTCCTTGGTGACGGAAGAGGAGGCGTTTTGCTGGCGGTTCCAGGGGATGGATGGGACATGAAGATGTGGGCTGGCTACCGAAATCAGAGTAGTCTGTGCCAGACTGAAATCGCTGTAGCTCAGAATTCAATTGGACAGTTCAAAGATGGACTCATTTATAGTGCCCAATCTGAGGCAATGGCCTCCCCGCCCTTCGTTCCGTTCGCCGCTTCCGACTCCTTGGTTCGCTGGTCGGGAGCTTTCACCTGCGCGCGCGCGCGCGCGCGCGCTTGTTATCGGTGCATATCACGGTGCATCACGGTGCTGAGGATCTCTCAGACCAGGCGAATGTCTGATGGAAAGAAAGATGCTCGGTTTGCAGGGCGTCAGCTCGGTTGACAAAGTGGACGAAGAGAGGTCAGGGGCTGAGGGGCGGAGTCAGGCGACTCCCTTTGAAGCGCCCCTGTCGAAGAATCCGACCAGGCTTTCTTCAAAGATGTATCGATCACCATGGCTGGTCGGAAGGGGGAGCAGTGCAGCCACTGACATTTGACATGGCCTGAAATGATACAACCTTGAATTTGAAGAACCACGATCAGGTCAACATCCGCGATATCAACCAGAACCTTTGGCTACCCGCGGCTACCCTCTATGATGAAGCATTGGGCATTGTGATCGCAAGATCATAGCAAAATACATCAAAATACCGTTGTGACATGTTGTGACGCTCCGGCTGCCCAACATCTCACTGTTTTTACCCTATGCACGCGAATGACGGAATCAACCATCCTGGCGACGTGTATCTTCAAACAGATGTAGAGGCCAGGTAGTAGGATGTAGTAGGTCTTTTCCAGAATCAGGATTGGTTTTCCTTCGCAGCATCCCCTGGTTGTCGAGTTGTGCCGGAAATTCATGCCGTGTACCGTATGAACACCAGAATGACGTTCCTCTTTTCGGTGATCCATTGGGCATCGCTGCGCATCGGCGGTCCCACGCCCTCATCACCTCGTGTGCACCCGTCTGAGTCCGTGCTGAGTCTGACCTGGTGCTGACTCACCCGGAAGGAGTATCTTTGACTTCTCACGCCGGAGGCAGAAGCAGAAGAAAGCGGATGGAAGGTACTTCAGACTCCAACGAAAAACAGGCTGAGTCCGGCTGAGTCCGGTGCCGGACCTCCGCAGGCCGAAGGCTCCGCAGGCCGAAGACGGCACCGAGAACGGGGCGGTTTGGCGCTTCGACCGAGCGCACCGAGGGCCGGGACGTCGAGATGGCTGGAGCACTGAGCACCACGCCCAGCGCCATGCTGGCCCACGGCCGCTCGGGTGTGACGGAAGGACGGGGCAAACCACTTGGAGGGGGGATTGGGCCTGTAAACCCCACGAATGTATGAACAGATGGAGAAAGTTAGGTCAAAACCTTTTGTTTTTTCAAGGAACACTGAGGGAGTCAGGGTAAAGCTGCAGGAGAGAATTTTTGCTTTTTATTTCGACCATGCTGAGGGATGGCAATTTGGGAGGGACGTTTCATTCTGATGGGGACTGTCCAGGCCTCTATATACATCGCGCGGATGGAATTCAGATTCGCACTTTTGCAGTGGTAGGGAGATGTAGGAAGTCTCCTTTACAAAATCCGCTTTCCTCCGCTTTTCCAAATGCGTCCATCATCTCCTTTCCAAATGGTTTCCAATATCTGGTGCTTTTCCTCCAGTTGGTCCGGCAACATGCGGAGAGCTGAGGTGGGCAACTGGGCTTTCAAAAGTTTGTGAGCCGCACCAGTCGCTACATCGACATGATCGCTGGAATTCTGGTGTTGCTGAGTCTTGGTCCATGAGTGTCGCTACCTGCCAAGTCTTTTTCTATTATAGTCTTTAATCCGAGCTGTTGAGGCCACTGGCCAGACCAACAGCTGAAGAAGTGCAAGACAACATCATCCAAGTTGTTTTGAATTCTTCGGAGGTTTGCCCCACGGACGGAAGGTTGCGCAGCTTGGGAGAAGTTTGCCTGCTCTGTTTTTTTTCAACATTCAATGTTTGTTGAGCACTGGTGTCACTCAACGGCATTCCTTCAAGCAGTTGAACATACATCGCTCACATGCACTCTGCCCTATACAAGCTCTACAAGCTTATCGTTTTTTTAGTTTTTTACAGTGAAACTTTAGCGACCTCACAAAAATTTCTGTCATGTCGCAAGTTTCTTGGATTGTCGAAGCATGGGTGGGTGGGAGCTAGCAAGACTTTCAATACAGAGGTTTACTGCTGGAGGTTCTAGGCAAACCGGCAAACCTTACAGGGAACGCCTGAAAACTGCGCTAGGAACCCTTGGCTTCACGAGGAAGCGTTCCCCCTTGGCAGTGCTGAAACGCACTCATTGGACAATTCCAGTGTCACGAGATTTGACAGTGGGTGGCATGCCATTTGATGCTGCATGATGCATGTATTTTCCACTGTCATCATGTGCGGTTCATCATGTGATGCTGCCAGACCACTTCAGGAACTCTATGGTGATGATGTTGGAGTTGGAGATGGAGGGCAGAGCTGTTGGCTTCATCCTAGGCTGGACCAAGCCCGAGGCTTTCCGCGGTGTGGGGGTTCATGCTTCCGCGCAGAGCGCGCGGAATCCCCTCAAGTGGCCGAAGGTCTCCCAGAAATTCGACAGCAACTCCGTGCACGAATTGCCCAAGAAGCATTGAACGAGTCAGAGAACCAGGTGAGTAGGTTTTTTCAAGAGGAGCCATTGACCAAGAATTAGACGTCCTGAGGCGCATCAGGACCCCACGTCAGAGACGCCGCAACGACAAAAGCTGCGGCAAGACAATGGATGGGTTCAGGATGTTCACAATAGACATGCTGGACTGCTGAACTCTTGAAACCAGCATGTCGATTGTGGAAACCAAGTCACGCTGGACTCCTGGTCTGGATTTTGGAACTCTTTATTTCAACTTTCCGACCGAATGGTGCTACTTCTTCCGCCACACCGGGCGGGAGGAGGTGCATCACACCGGATGAACGGCGATGAACCCTCGATGAACGGCGGTGGATGTCCGAGGGTGTTTCGCAGGTCCGCAGGATTCTCCCACTGAAATGTGCATGTTTTTCCATATGTTTGGGTCCTTCGAAGACTGCCACATGATGGCACTTCCATTGAGTTTCGCAATTCATCTGTGATTCGCGTAAACCATGTGTCAGATATCTTAAAATGAGATCTCATTTTAGGAACATCAACATCATCACGCCCTTGGATCTTTCTTACTTTGTGCGCAGCGTGTGCACCGTGTGTGAGCTGTGAGTGTGGCCAGGGAGTCTTGCTTTGCATTTGTAGTCGATGACAATGTTATGAAAGTGATGACGATGTTGTGAAGCCGATGACGCTGTTATGAAACCGGTGATGAGTGCTGCCCCACCCGCGCACCCCCCTCCCTCCCAACCGACTTTAGCCGCATTGTCATCCGATGACCATGTTGTGAAACCGATGACCATGTTTTGAAGTCGGTGACCATGTTGTGACAATGCCAACTACACGTGCAGCTATCCTTTAGGCAGACACATGGACTCTTCTGGAATACACCCATCCGAGCCGAAGAGAGCCCCATCCCTTGAGCGACTCGACAGGCCATGAGGCGACGGCCATCGGAATCTCAGGCGGCGCGGAAGGGGCGGCTGGGGCGCGCTCGTTGGATCGTTTGGGCGATGTTCAGCCATTGATCTTCCACCGTTGGGCTGGGCTTCCACCGTTCGGCACCCTGATTCCCGTTCGGGATCTGGTCTCCATCACAGGACCATCTACCTCATGTCCCTGAAATTCTGTCAAAGATGGTCATTTTTCCATGGCTTTACCCACTAACATCCGCCATCCACCCGTGTAAAAGCTTGCTTCGTCTCTTTTGCACATCTTCCACCCGGGCGAGTATCTTGCTTCGCTCTTTCCCGATCGAACGGGTGTTCCCTAATGAAGGAACATCCCGAGCTGCTGGAGGTCGTGGGATGGGTGCATTTCACATGTTCCGCCAAGTCGAAGGCCCAGTTGGCTCTGTACTTAGGCCCTAGGCCAAGGTCTTTTTGCCTTGTGAGACTGACAAGCTGAGGTCATGTAGACTCTTGATTAATAACCTCCCCCTTATGAAGAGGTTGTTTAATTCAATCGGGGGAGGTGATGTGCCTCAAGAGTCTACGGTCATGGCAGTACGTAGCACGTTTGGACGACCTCCACGGAGTTCTGTGGGAATGTGACAAGTAGGAGGTGCTTGTGGGAGTTGCATAACCCGAACCCGAACTGGGAGGTGCTGGTAGGAACCGTGTCTACATATATTTTACATAACAATAATACACACATATATGAAACACATTAAACCACTACAAAAACAGCACTATATATAAATAGTTGTATATCACTATATATATATATATATGTATATATATATATATACTTATGCATACACAGACCTATACACATACTAAAAAAGTGTTACCCCCCGTCCACCCAGAGAGACCAAGACCCTCTTGGACTTTTTTCGTCCATTGAGAACGCTTCTCTTCTCGTCAGGGTCTGTTTCGCGCGAGGTCTGGGTGACGGTTCCACCTGGAGCTTGGCAGATGTGGAACCCACCTTCCAGGGACTTTTGGCCACCAAGGGGACGGGATCGTGGGGGGATCGTCCGTGAACGCGGCGTTGGGGCGTTTCTGGTTCGGGTGCTGCGTTGGACATGAGCTTCCTGTAGGGCACCCGGCCTCCCGGAGGGCCGGTGGCGGAGGATGTCCTCCGGAGGGGCCGGACCTCTCGTCCGTCAGTTCACCTGTCCGGGCGTGAGCACCTCAAACTCATGCGGAAAACCCTTGCCACCGTCATGGTTGATGGCCGTCATGAGAAAGATGGCCAGATCGCGTGGGCCTTTGGGAAAAGTGCCCAGACCTTCCACCCATGGCTGTTGCCGTTGGAGGACTTGCCTTGCTTTTCTGCGAACCAGCAGCTGGTTCGCGGGTTCGAACAGGCATAACCATTTGAGACCTCAGAACAAACCCATGAACATGAGACGTTTGGATTTTTTAATGGATTTTTTAGTGTCATTCACTTACCGTACTCCTCATCATCACCAGCTTTGTTGATGCGAAAGTCACCGCCGTAGTTCACCTCCCCGACAATCGTATGAGCCATCATCGAGATCCATCATGCTTTCCCACACTCCCATGTCAGCGTATTTGCCTCGCCCTTTCTTTCACAACTCGCAGTCTTTTTTTGGGTGTGTGAGAGAGGACAGACATGTGGGACCCTTCACCTTCAATCTTCCTTTGAACGAACCGGAGTCTCGGCTGACATCGTGTTTTGGTAGGGTCCCAAGTCTCCTTTGACCTGTTTCGGGGTCGGCCTTTTCCACTGTTTCCACTGCGACCCCTTGGTGGAGTCTGCGACGGCTCAGTCTTGGACACGGCCTTCGTCTACATCTTCTTGTTGGAGTTGCTGCTGCGAATCCTGGCCGAAGGCGCGGCGGTGTCAGTGATGTCACCGGTGGGGGGAGTGATGCCGGGCCCGGGTGTGGTGGGAAGGACTCCAAATGGGGTAGGTTATTCCCCAGATAGCGTGAGCTATTGGGGTTCTTACTTCAAGTATAGGAAGAGATTTTGCTATCCGGGGTCTATGCTGGCGTTATTTGTATTATATTTTCATAGGGGTGACCGTCTGGTCTGGGGGTTCACTGGTGTCTTTTCCGACCCTTCCAGGGGTGTCGGAAGGAACGCCTGCCGGTCGGTCGATGGCACGCCCAAACGGACACGCTTTTTGGAAGCGACACCGAGGAAGGCAGTGCTTCGATTCTTTTTGGATGAGTGCAGTGCTTCAGACCTGGATTTGCATAGGGTGATTCTTTTTCCGAACTGGATGAATTCCCTTCTCGGGACATACTTTTTCTTCCTCAGGAATAGGTTTTGATGTGAGTTGTGTTTTTAAAGATTATACCCCAGAAACATCAAACAACAATTGCAAGTATTTAAGGCATCAGCAAATCCAAAAAGGTGCTCCAGATGCTTGGTACTCCAAGCCTTTTCATCCCCTTCGGTGGCCCACGTTGGTTCGGTTGCCTTGCCGTGCTCACAACGAGCTGACTTTGGACCATGCCAGAAACTCTCAAACCACATAGCGGGCACCACATAGTGGGCACATCAAACACCAAGCAGATACTGCAACAAAGAACCGTTTTATTGGGCAGTTTACTTCCAAGAGATCAACGGTAACCAGAAGTGAAGTAAAATTATAGCGACGCATGTCTGCCGATCGCATTGCTCCGTAATTTCCTTTGGGGGAGGGCTGGACACATGACTGGGGCTCCGCGATCTCCGCGATCCGCGGATCCGGGTGTCAGGGCGCCAGTTCTTTCGTGACTGCGCCAACTGGTTCGACACTGTGCTGGTGCCTGGGCTTTTTGAGTGAAGAAAAGGTGAAGAAGTTGGACAACTGGGTTCTGAAGTGGACCAACCTGTCCCCCTCGTGCGTGACGTGTAAGACCGTGAAGTTGAAGTTGAACAGACCCAGAGGTCCCCAGAGGTCTTTTGATCGATGCGTTTTCGATGCATGCTTACAGGCTTACAGGGCATGTTCAATAAATCCCATTTGAGGCCCTGTTTGCAGTCACTAGAAGTCCGTGGGTTCAGAGGTCAGGCGCCGTTCTTGCCACGTGAACGTGCATACGCAAACGCAGCGATCGGGAAGTCGAAGGTGCATGGTGGCTGCTACCGTCCGCACGTAAGAACACATGGAACCTGAACCTTCCAGTCGAGTCCATTGATGGGGGTCCACTGGATGGACCGGTGAGGTGAAGTAAGGAACGATATGCAGTATGTATGTGTATGTTAAGTGACCTTATAGGACCCTACTGGGGTACCTATGGATAGTCTATAGGGTCACTCAACCTGTGTTGATACATCACGACCAACATGCAAAAGCAAAAACAAGAAGCACGAGACCCTCCATCATCCGGCTTCGCAATAAGCTTCGTGCTGCCGTTCCACATGAGCCGACTCTTTTTCTTCAGATGCCTTATGTAGATATCTTGGCAGGTTCCGAAACAATGATGTCTGTCCAAAGAAATGCAATGCATCAGGTCATTTGATGGCAAATTCTGGAGCCAGAGCACCTTTCTCGGAGCGCCCTTCCTTCTTTGGGGGTTTGACTGGGCGCTCTTTCGCGTCGCTCTTGGGCCAACCCGGAAGACCCAGCCACCCACCCGACCAAGCACCGCTTTCCGTGGAGATCTCCCCCGACCAAGCACCGCTTCGCTCGGCTGGAGGTGATCGTTGGCTTGGTAGACGTGTGGATCATCGTATCTGAGCGAAGCCTGTCGCGCGGGTGCGACGGAGGATCGCAGAGAATTCTGGAGTGGTCTTCTGGGGTTGGGGCAGCTGGGGTGCCAGTGGATAGAGTCAAATAGAGGGGGAAAAGAGATGTTGAGTGTAGGGGGAACATGGCAGCCCACAGATGGGTAAGAGGAGGCCTTCCTCTAGTACTGCAGATGCTTAAGGTGCCATAGTTTGGGGGAGGGCAACCCCAGACTGAAGCTAGAAAGTCAGCATTGGCATCCAAAGCTTCGCCGCATGCTGTCGCAACCGCATCCATGATCGCAGATCCCAATAGATCCACACGGAGCAGAGCCACACCTCGGACCTCTAAACCGATCTTCCCGCTTCTGGACCTTCCCGCTTCGATCCGCCCGAGGTGCCGTTTGCCTCCGGTGGGGGCACCAGCGACCCGCAGAACATCATGATGATGCGTCTCTTCCGGGCGGTGAAGTGCCTTCGTGCCATCCGTCCCTCGGAGGGTCCGGAGGGGTGCGGGTGCGAGGGGTGCGAGGGGTGCGGAGGGGCTCGTGGCTCTTGTTGGGGGGTGCTCGTGGCGAAGAAAGCCGCGTGAGGTGGTTGAAGGCTTCATAAAAATGATGTTTGCATTCATATGATAGATGCAATGCATAGTCATGACAAACCACAATGTGACACATGTATTCAGAATGCAAGCTTGCACGGGTCTGACATAGTTTTGTATGTGCAAGAGAGTGTCACAGCATAAATGAATCGAGTCTTCAATTCAATAACTATAAAGAACGAACATGGGACCCAACCCTCAAGTTCAGAGGCTCTCTTTTCTCCAGCTTCCTGGCTTCACATCTCGCTGGGGCGGGAAGGGCATCTTCCAGATCTCCATAAGGAGTGGCTAGATGCCTTTCCCAAGAGGACCACATGCCACATGCCACCAAATAGAAGTCGTGCAACTTTGTGGCACCTTGTTAGTTTCTGTCCTCAAGCTTAGGAATCGACAATACCCATGAATACCTATCCTCTCTTTTTCGCACTGAATCCCTTTCAAATCCCTTTGTCCTTCCTCCCCTCCTCCAAACAAAACCACCATTCCGGAGCCCAATTTAGGCCGAGCCGACGCCGAACGACCGAGCCCGCGCACACCCCGCCGTCCCGGGTCGCCATGCCAATCGTCACCGAGGGATGGTGCGCACCTTTCGGCTCTTCCGGGGACTGAACCTCCTCGTCAAGGTGGGTCACCGGAATCGAAGAGCCAGGAAGAGAGGGGGCAGCTTGAGAGGAAGTCTGAGCACCAGCGCCAAAAGACCATGGTTTTTTGAAGGATCATCTTCAACACCACCATGGGCAAGCAGTAGAGAGCACAGGTCTCGGCCTGACAAGATTTACATGGATTGGGTGTGTCCCATTACTTGTAACAGTTGGCAAACTATCACCATTTAGGAGAAAGGCCTGCAGCCTAACCATCATCATCCACTGTTACAGGGAATGGGACATACCCAAGACATGGATGGACATGCCCCAAGTTTTATGGAACGGCACATGGAAGTGGATGGCATGACGCCTGGATAGGGCGAGCCCCACTTCCATGTGTCGTGAGTAAGTTAGTGTATAGTGATTCCGTGAGCTTCCATGTCTATGCATGTTCTTTGGAAGCGCTGGGCATTTCCATCTTCCCCTTTCACTCTTTGATCCCTCGTGTCATGTTTTTTGTGGCGGCGGCCTGAACATCCGCTCCCAAGAGCTTCACAAGCTAGTATTTGGATGCCTCAGTTTCTTCTCTGATCCGCCACCGAGCATCTGAGCACTCTCCCTTCTGCGGCCGTGCGCGCCCAAAACCCGAAGGTCCCGACGTGGAAGTCAGACGACCGGACCGAAGGATGCCCAACGGACCCCGACCGACCACGGGTGACCGGGCGAGGCCTGCCAATGCTTTCTGCCGTCGTTGGGCTGGTCGATGGTGCTCCTGGTGGTCTTCATGTCGATGGGCACGCTGATCATGGGGAACCTACTGCGTCTTGGAGCGGTAGGACCCCCACAGGGTGGGAGCGGTCGGAGCGGGAGGACCCGGTCGGATCAATCGTCCTGGGGCACCCTCAAGAAATAGAAATTGAACGTCCAACTTCTGTCAGTCTGCTGTCCCCTAAGTGCCAAAGAGGCGCCGCGTCCAAGCGCAGCGGTTTTTAGCTTTAACCGCGATGTTGGAGAATTGGTGCTTGAGCTGCGAATGAATTGAACTTCACGATGGATGCCTTACGCTGAGAGGGTTTCACCAGAGAGGAGAAACTGAGGCCCTAGCATCCAGCATCTTGGTTTGATCTTGATACGGCTGTGGGTCAAAGCCTGGAGCCCAAAACCGTGCTAGGTTCATCTTAACTTAGTAGTCCATTCCGTTCATTTTCCGTGGTCAACCAGGGTTCCCCGGTTTGGACCCATAGTCATACCTTGATACCATTTGATACCCCTTCAAGAACCTGGGTTTGGCATCCCGTGAAGTAGACCAGGTGACCAGGTCTACTTTGGCCCTTCCGCGCGCCTGCACTCGCCCTCGAAATGGGGGGCACCGCCACTGATCGGTGGCCGTTGAGGCGTGACTTCATAATGGATAGCTCGAAGAGCCTGGAGGACCGCGTCTGGATTTGGAATCGCTACGGCGCTGCCTACCGTGCGATGTGGACCCTCTACGAGGTGCCGCCGGCGGCCGGTCGGCGGGAACGTGAACGCGGTCGTCGGAGATGGGTGCTTGGAGCGTTTGGATGCTGTCTGGATGGGGTGCAGTAGCTTAGACACCAGAAGGTTTTGGTTGGTTCACGGACATTCTATGAATCTTCCGCGTTGCGCCATGCAGCCATTTTTGCCGACTTCGGAACTGGGTCCCGGTCGGGACCTCCGTGAAGTTGCGGTGACCAAGCGACACGTAGCCTCCAAGGGTCAAGTCATCGTTCCAAGAGTCCTGAGAAGACTTCCAGCACCTGACCCTACCTAGCGCAGTACCTAGCGGGGTGCCCTGTCTGGAGACCTGTTTACGTAGAGTGAAGATATCCAGCCCAGGTGACCCCGAACGGAAGCAGCTGGTACGGGTCTCCAAAGTGATTTTGGAGACCAAGGGGCAGGTGGTGATCTCTGAAGTCGGGTGCTGGTTACTTGTTTTGGTGTCGAGTCGGTTGGTCATATGGGACCATCGACCCCCATGACCCTCGAACCCTCGAGCCCGATCGGGCTCCCCGCATCTGATTCGTACAGAGGTGACCTTTGCCGGCAATTGGCAGCTTGGTTGCCTATCAGAGGGACAGGGCCAGGAAGACTGATGAGCCAAGCACGGAGATGGAAGATGGACTAAGTCAATACAAGAAAGCACATTCCAGGAGTCACAAAGGGGTGCCTAGTGGAGGTTAGGGGTGCCCATTATCCACTCACTTAGGGACCAAACACCACCCCTTTGTGACCCCCTGGTTCAAGAATCTAACGGCAGCCACTCCAGATCGCTCTCGGAGTCCCTGCCGCCAGGGGGCATCCTTGTTCCCAGGCTCACCGTAGCCTGTGGAACAAATGAGGCTTCATGATAACATGGTCATGGTTCTTGGGATTCATAACTCATTGGGGCTTTCGCAACCTTTGAGTTTCGTGAAACCGCTGGCCGGATCGGTTTCACAACCTGATCTTCTATGGTTCACCCCCAACCATCGGATGACCGGCATGATTGTTTGGAAGTTACAGTTTCTTCATTCCTCCCCACTGCAGGTGGTGGTTTCGTTGGCGAGGAATGGCTGGTTTGGATAACTGCCAGGCGACCACTGGACCCTGACATTTTCTCAGGTGGAGAAAGGTCCCCCCCTGGGCTGCGCACAAACGCAGTTATCACCCTTAGCTGGGCTAAGCCGTGCAGTTGCTGTAACTGCTGGCTAAGCCTTGGCATCCTCAATGCTTCTGGCTGTGCTGCTGCCGGATCTTCTGTTTGTGGCGTTGCGCTTCCCATTTTCAATACGATTGTGCGTTTATATATAGTTTTTTTTTTTAAATAATATATATATATATACATATATATATATATACATGCATATGTATATTCCGTGGTCATGTTTGTTCCCTATTGGTGCCGTTCCCGGTGTGAGCCTAGTTCTTCTCAAAATCTTCTCAAATGGGGTTGGATAAATGTTGAGCGTGACCGGAACAAACATGGACAAATGATGACAAATGTAAACATGTAAACATGGGAATGTGTGTGTTTTCATCGTGTTCGCGTTTTTAAGTGCGGGGACTTTGGTGATTGGTGTTTGATTTAGCCCCTTGTTTTGCAAGCCGAGGCCGACCAATGCTAGGCCAGTGCTGGAAAGGGTCAGCCACTCCTATGTGTTTCTTGGCTTCATTGTGATGAATCATGGCAGCTTTGGGTGGAGACGGTGTGGCACTCCAAGATGCGGTTATCACACCCTCGAACTTGGCAGCGTGAAACAAACTTGGACATGGACGAAATCGAGACCAGCGGCAATTGAGCTGAGGTTTTTCTTCATTGTCTATATCACCATCATAGTATTTGCGGTCATTCGTTCCTGGCCAGCACAAACGGCTTTTTCTCGTTCGGGGCGCCTACTAGGCGCCTTCCTTTCTGGATTCTATTTCCGCCCTACGGACCGTTCATCCATTTTCTTTGGCAAGGATCTGGCCTCGCTGGCTGGCTGCTGTGTGCTTTCTGCTTGCTATGCCTGCTACCTCCGCTACTCATTACTTCGTTGCAACCGTGGTCGGGTTTTTATGGCTCGAGGCGGCCTGTGAAAGGCCAAGGTGGTCAAGAGGCTGACCAAAGCTTTTCTGCCCGCTCAAGCCAAGGACTCATCAAGGGGACAAACATGAACATTGGTTTTGGTATGCCAACCCTTCCCCCATACCAAAAGACTCCTCCATGATGCTTGCTAATCAAACCTTCAAACCGATGTTATTTTGTTTTTGTATGATCTATGATGAATTTGCTGGCTTCAACTCTGGCGTAATTTTCAACACGGTTCTTTCATGTTGCGGTTCGTGGTAATGTCCGGGCCAATGCCACACATGCAGATGGCTTGGTGCCAGCTGTAGCATGACTTTGTTCCGACTTGGTGCAGACAAGGCACCAAGACAGTTTGCTGAGCCGGAGCAGATGAAGACTTGATGCAGCAGAGAGGAATTGCTGTTTCAATCAGTTCTTGGCTGGTTTCGGTGTCGGTTCCAAGCGGTTCGCGTTGCATATCGGTTTCTTAAAAACTTGCGGTTTGTGATTTGGTTCCGGGCGGTTTTTGCACGTTCCTGTGAGCTTTCCGGGGCCCCACACGGGTTGCCCTTCCCAGCGTGATAGCAGTTTAAACTTCCGTGAAGTTCATGTTGTTTCTTGATGACTCCAGGTGTGATCTCCGCAATCTTTTTGAAAGATACTCTTGACGCGGCGCAGAATGATGCAGAGGCCTTGGTGGTTGACAGGCGGGAGCTGGCTTTTCGGAGGTAGCAACTTGCCACCCCAAAATTCCCGAACTCCAACGCCAAACCCACTTGGTAAAGGACACGCAACCAAGCAACCAGGTTGGACAGGCAGACTGGTACCGGAATGGATCACAAACATTTTGCATGTCACGACTGAAGACGCGAATGGTATTCATCATTGCACCCATGCGCATCAAAGCCCGATGCTGGGATTGTGTTAGTGGCTTACCTCACCGGGATCCAAGTACCTTCTCAGAAGCCACTTGGACCCTCCAAACCTACCGTCTATAATGAGCAGTGCCAGGAAATCACCGTACCTGAGGTTCGGTACGGCATGGATCCCCGAACGGGTCCAAAAACCACCATCATACGGCACGTGGACTCGGTTCCGCCATCCGTGGACCCGACGCGACGTGTGGGTTGACTTAAGTACGCCGTGTGGGTTGACTTCTGCCAACAGATCTTGCAGGAACGTTCAATTTGTCAGTTGAGGACACTTGCTGAACAAGCTAAATGAACCTCAGAACGTGTGCCCGCACCCGAGCATCAACCCCGCAGTGTCGTGGCAAACGCGAGCGGTGACGCGGCAGCTGAACTCACAACACCGCTCCTTCACAACCCGGCCCAACTCAGGCACACCCAAAAGGGGTCCTTTTAGGGGTCCTTTTAGGAATAGAAACGCTTGACACGCTTTTGGATTCTGAAGGAGGGTTGCTTTCCGCGTGGCACTCCCTTGTCGAAGCTTTGAGCCACCACTTGACTCCGTTGAGGCCAGGCTTTGTCACTGCACACGCTTCGACCCCCCGGAAGGACCGGATGGGAAGGGCCTCCTGCCTCCCGGAGGCTAAGCAAGAAGGCCTCCTACGTCCGCAAGCTGGAGCAGATTTTTAAGGCCATTGACAACACATCCGATGGACTCCCGTTTTGCAACAAGCGTGGTGTCACTGGATGGTTGTGACATGTTGTGACCTGATATTGGAAGATACTGGCAGGTGCCTATATTCACAGCTACTTCCTTAGTTCTTTGCCCCAACAAGGCTCCAGAAGTTTACTTTTACTCTCCGCAGGGCCTTTGGGTGTTGAGATCCTTTTGATTCTTTTTGTGATGCAGTTCCGGCATCTCAGATGAAGACCATTGATAGTTGTTTTTAGCAGCTCAGGTGGTGCCACCTTTGTCTTCCATCAACTCGCAGGCAGTTCCAACTTGACATGGGGGCTCTTTAGCCCATGCACTCTGACTACAACGTTCTTGAACTCACAGCCCTATCGTTTGGAGTAACCATTAGAGCCTGCAGAGCCCTTCACCTCCATCAGACGGCCACACCGGGGCGGTCGACTCCCGGGTCTAGGTAGGCGGAGGACCGGACGGTGCAGAGAGGTCGAGCCCAACGCGCAACTGCTATGGGTTCCATTTTGGCGACTAGGCAACATCATCCAACATCCATAGGAAAGATGTGAGATGTTGGAAGGATGGATGCCGATTCTGATTCTGATGCAGACTTGATGGACAGATACTGATATCAGGAAGGCTGACTTCAGAGAAAGTTGGCGTTGAGAAAGTTGGATTTTCCCTGTCGCTGGCCAGTGGGTCGAGAGGGACTGACCACGTACGTAGACACCTGAAGGCTTGCAGTGAACTTGAACTCAAACCAATCCGTGCGCGATCTCGTGGATTCGGACCCAGCGGCCTAGCTGACACACCCTACAGCTTCAGGTTTCCATGGCCTCTCCTCCTCCATAAGAAACAGATAGGTTCTCGATGCCACCATGCGGCCTGGGGAAAAGAGGGAGGGAGGGTCTCAAGGATGAATTCCGGAGACGTAAATGTATCTTTCCAAATCCCTGGCCGCCGCCCGTCACCATTCTCCGTTTGGTGATCCCTGGTCAGCGCGCTATGCTGCGGCGGCAGTCGCGCACAGCTGCGCTTCCGGTGGTGAAGACCCGGCTCGGCTGAGGAATGGTCACAGAGGAGAAGTTGTCCACCATACTGGCCAATCCAATGGCCCCTTGAAAGTGGAGTGCATGTTGGGTCTTTTGTTGAGAGGAGAACCCCAGAAACCTTACTAATTAGATCTTGGTAAGTTAGCTGTAAGACTCCAAGAGGGTGAAGCTTCTGACAAGGAAGCATCAGAGGCACGTTTGGAACTCACCGCGCTGGGCGGTCTGCTGGGGCAAGTGTCATGACAGTGTCATGTCTCATGTCCCTGCGCGACATTTGGCAAAGATGGATGTCCTACGAACGCCATTGGAAACAAGCCGGAGTCCGCGTTAGTTGTTTCCCCTCCGTAGGCGGCTCACACCAAAGAGACACAGGGCCCAGTGAGTGGGGGGAAAAGGCGGTGTTGTGTTTCAAGTCGAAGTAGCACCGCCTCTTTGGAGGGATAGTTGATATATACCATATATACCTATAGATCTTCCAACTATGCAACATTTCTGCCTTTTCATCTCTGAAAACCCCCGCCCATTTGGGCAGACATGATGCACAGTGTATAGTCTGTATAGTTGGAAGATCCAGCTATGTCGATCCTGATCTTCTGTGGCCTCAACAGGGGGGAGATTCCTCGCAAGACCTGGGTCTGGGCGGGCTGGGCCTGGGCATTTCTCACTTCCTTTGCGTGCTCGGATCGCTTGTGGAGGTCTTTGCCAACTGCTTTCTTCGCTCGGAGGTTCGATTTTTCGTTTTGGAGGTTTTTCGACGGACCTCCCAGTTAGAAGCGTAGGGAGGGCCTTGATTCATAACAGTGTCTTTCTACCTTTTAGTGGCATGTTCGCAGAGCGCAGGGCCGATCCACACATGGCAATGAATGCCTCCTATTCTTTTGTATGTTTCATCAGCACTTTAGGCTACAAAGAAATGCTGACTCCACTTACAGTATTTGCCCCTCAGCAAGCGCTACATACCCTGGCCATCCCCCCAAAATTCATGTCATCCTACGAACATCTACTGGTGGAGTCCCTCTCTCAAGGGACTTCTCGCTTCAGGTCGTGGCTTATTTTCAAACCTTAGACGTCGATGCTCGGCCCAAGGGGGGATCTCTAGCTCCGACCCGTCGCCGCGACGAGAGCGCTGGAACCGGTTTCTCGGTGGCGTCGTTTCGGCTCTTTCTGCGGCGTGCTTTGGGGCGATGCAGTTTGGAGGGGCGACCGACTGGGGACTGGGGATGGATGGTTTTCCGTGAGATCGCATGGGTCAGGGGAACGTTCTGGCTTTTTTTGATCTTTTTTGGGGGGCACCACTGGCCATTCGACGTATTTGGAGGACAGAAGAAGAGGTCCCAGCACTTTGGATGACTGGGGGCCTCTCTTGCTATTTCTTCCGAAGTCCCCCTCTCTGAGTGAACATGCTGCTCTTGAATACCCGAAGCTGCCGAGAACTCCAATGCCGCCCAGGTTCACAGGTGACATGCAACAACAACATGACATGTAGCACGGATGCCCAATGATGCCAGGGACAAGCAAATTGCATTGGCACTGGCCTCAACTATTTCTGGCTTGGCTGAGCCTGGACCCGACTATTTCCTCACTAATGAAGAATTCAGATTTGCAGCGGTGCCCAGCTTGCACGCGAGCACGGTGCATCCCATGAAATGAACATGATAGTGACCTCAAATCACACCAACATGTATATACCGCCACTGAACACTCACATAGACTGACCCTGAATACAGGCATATCTCCCCGAGTCCATGTGAGCTGACCCGGGAGTGTGACTGTCACAGGTGGTCACCCATGGAATGGCCACTGAATGGGGACGGGAAGGCACTGGATGGCCGGGCAAAGGGACACTGGTTACCAAGTACAGTTAGTCGGCGACTTCGAAGCAAGATGTTGGTGGTATGTGAGTAGGTTGCGAAATTACCGCCCCCGCCCCCAGTATTTAACATCAATTATATATGCATCAAATTTAGCCCGAGTCCTAGCGTGGCAGTGAAGCTTCGGCCTTATGGTGAGGATGTGATGGACAGCACCGCGCTCTTTCACCTGATTGACAACGGTCACTGGCATTCTATCAGGTCGTCAGGACGTGTTTTTTCCCTACTCGTCCAAGCCAGGTCGAGATGACACTTAGGTCCTGGGCACGCATTGAACGGGGTCGAAGCTGGGCGTCGGTAGGAAGATCCACTGAGCTTGTTGGGCAAGACCACTCCATCTGGGCACTTGATGAGAGAGTATAGTTCTTGACTTTTTAGAGTTGGCTTCACAGGGTGTTGAGTTGTTTGGGCCTAGCAGCCTAGCAGTCCCACACCAAATAGGTCCTTAGGTGAAGCTGGTCAACAGATTGGTTCAAATCGCTTCCTGCTCATTGAGGACCATCGGCGGTGAATGCTTATTTGGGGCACCGGTGGGTGCAAAACCCTGGGATTCTCCACAATCCCGGTGCCGAGGATTTCTTATTGCCTCCCAGGCGGCTGCGCATATCTGACCGTTTAATAGAAGCTCTTTTATACAACACTGTGTCTCATGGCTTTGGGATCCGAATTTGTGGCACTTCGTCAGCAAAAGCCAACCACTGATGCTGATCAGTCAATGACAAGCTCGTTGGGTGATACAAGAAGCTCGTTGGGTGCCTGAGATCGCTTCCTTGTTGGCAATTCCATCCCATGCACCGGACGGATCGGCAGAGCCTGCTGATTGCGCCTGATGGTCGCGACATCAGCAGCGACGGACGCACGGACGCACGGATCCTGAGGTGATGGTGAAATGACCATGGACGAGCATCTGATCTGACAGCATGTGGAGTTGGGATGTTCAGGTTAAGGAGGTGTCCCACCATGCCACTCCCCGGAACTGAAAGGATGACCATTTTCCGAATATACCAAACAAGGGGATGAACTCCACAAACCCATGCTTCTTTCAGGGAGTGTTTGTCAACATGGATTAGGATTATCATATGTGGAGCCACTGGTAAGCTCCATTGAATTCTCACTCAGTTTGGCACAAAGTTCTGAAGGGTGCGTCAATTTGGGAGAAAACCGTCTCCAAGCTGAACGGCCTGCGACAGTTACAGCGGCTGAATGGTTTGTGAAACCATCTCCGTGCTTCGATCATCCACAAATGGGCCAAGGATGCCATCACCTGCCAATGCTTAATCTTGTACTGCTGAGCTTGATTTGGGGGTCTTCGAATCTAGAATGCCTTGCATCACTCCAGGAGCGGGCTACAGCGGCTACAGGTTTACGGTTCTACCCTGTATCCAACCCAGGTGCTTGTAGAGAACCCAGGTGCTCAGTAGTCTTTGTCTGTCCACTTCTACTTCGAGGCGCACATCGGCACGGGGGTTATGGAGACACACCCCACACTTCCCTCAGTGCCACGTCGGACCCACGGACGGCGAGGTTCATTGAGGGGATCCTGCGGTGCAAAGGGCCCGCTCGCGCCATGGATCAAGCGCCTTGGAGTGCCGGACCTGGACATGGTCAGGGCATCCATCCGCCCGGTCGGGGGGGATCTGGCTGGTGGCCCCAGGTCTTTTTTGATCCACCTTTACTTGGAGTAATATTCAAGGGAGCTGAAGCCACCAGCCAGAGATGCATTTAAGGATCCAATTGAAGTTTTGCCGCCAGAGGCTCGACGCTGGGGGGGTGTTATTCTTGAAGAAAGCAGAAGAGAACAGGAGGTGTGTGCGGTGAGTGCTTGGAGGAAATCGATTCCGCGCGTTCGGAACGTTGGGGGATTTGCTTGGGAGGATCTGATCAGGGAGGATATTGAAGCTTGCGGACTGAATTTTAACATGAGTTGAAGGGCTTGGCGAAGGCAGTCCCGAAGTTACAGATCAATTTTGTAGACCCGTTTGAAGCAAGGCCCACTCATTTTTTGTAGTGCTTAGGGAGGGATCTTGGTAGGTCTTGCTCTCTTCCTGTGTCATTCATTGTCATATAGCATTCGTCAATCGTAGTGATTAGACGTTTGGCACTTCCACTGCCACTACCAGAAAGACTATATTAGTATATATTGTCCTATTGTTAGTCTGGCTCAAGAAAATTCCACACTAGAAGAGGCATCTCAAAACATTCATTTTCGCACCTGAGAAAGCTGCTGCCGTGCTGTTTCGCTCGCACGCTGTTCTCACGCACGGTGTTGGCGCGTTTGGGCCATCCATTCAGGTGGCTATCCGTTCACTGCTGGACAGGGTGGATCAAAACTTAACCAAGCTCACGCTCCTCGGAAGATTCGGTTTCAACGATGACCGTTCGGTGTTTGGCGGTTCATTTGAACCTTTGGCATGGCTTCGTTCGGTTTTCCACGCGCTTGCGCCGGCAAGCCGGGGGAAGGCATGGCTTTCCGTTGGTTCTTTGGGCCTTGGTGCCGAAAGCCAATCGAACGCAACGCGGTGGAGGGCATGGGTGGGTGCGAAGACAAAGAAAATGCAACCTTTTCCGACAAATCTCTGTGTCCAATGAATGAGGCCCTTGGGGCGAGCAGATCAAGATTGTTGATGTGTGCTGTTGAAGGTTGTTCATCAATCATGCCGCTGGTCTCCTTCAACATGTTTCTGGAGACACGTTTTCTACTTCCCAGTTCCCCCTGGCACAATGAGCAGCTCTGGTGCTTCATACGAAGAAAAGGAACGCACTTGGGGAAGAAGTGCGAAGGAGCACGAGCAAGGAACATCAGCACCTGGATTTGCAACTAGGGCCAGGGTGATTTTTTTCCTTTCAAAAAATTGATGAATCCCCTTCTCAGGAATGTGTTCTTTGATTTTCCGTTTGCTTAAGCAAATCCAAGTATCTAGATTTGACACTGGTTAGATGGCATCACAGAGTGTGATGTACATGGTGGTGCCATTTCCATCCATTTCCCTACTTTGATCAAGGCGGTTCCGCAGCTCACCAAGAATGAATGTGAATCAATCCATGGCACTGGTACCAAGGGATGACAGCAAGAAGATAGAAGATCAAGATGATGGAAGTGATAGAAGATCAAGGTGAACTGCCCCCAAAAATCAATCCCTACAAGTCAATGAACTCATTTTACTGGAGATGGTCACACAAAACCAATACTTAAGGAGGTAAAAGACCAGGTTTACTGGGTCTTTGGACTTGTAGGGAATGCTCAAGCTCAAGCTCAGAATGGTATCAGATGTTCTTCCTCATGCCAAGGACCAAGCTCAAAGAAGCGGGGGTCATCAAGGTGAAACCCAAGAAGCGCAAGGGAGACCCCACCGTCGCCAGCTCGGCACCGGAGAGGGGGGAAGGACCTGTTCCGGACGGAGGGAGATCGGTGTTAGGGAGATGTTGGATTGGATAGAATCAGTCCAGGTGGAGTTTGGCCTAAATCGACCCCCCCAGGTCTGTTTGGCTGGTCATGGTGCAACTCGACGCCTGTGGGATCCTGTGGGACGAGTCGTGACGAGAGATCTCCGTTGAGGTAATTATATAGGGACCTGCGACAGGTCGTGAGAAACCTGCGGAGACCTGACGATTGCTGTCAAGGACCATTTGCTTCTGCCTAAGCACCACCTGACCACCTGTTGCCTGTTCATAGAAGACCTTGACACCATACTTAGCCAAAGGTTTGTCATTATATCACTTTGTTGAGGTCACACCCTTATAAACAACGATCTCCATCTCGATGATCATTACATGCATCCTAAAGACAGTACGTAGAATGGACTGCCCACGCCCGACGAGAAGGCCTCCACTCTAAACATGGTCAATCCGCCGCATAATTTTGCTCCGGCACCATTCGTGGTGTTCGAGGCTGAGGCTTCGAGCAGTGCACCGCCAAACCTTTACAAGCTTGAGTGATGCAGGTGAGACTCCTCCGCCGGGATGACCGGGATGACCATCGGTGGACCTTCGAGGAGTTTGAGCAACTCCAATCCCGAAACCAAAGGGTGGTTCAAATATTGAGATCCTTGAGTTTAACAAGTTTGGGAACTGCGAAAACATCCATTTGTTTTGGTGTGGGATTGCATTGGGGTCGCTTCTGTTGGGGGGAGACGAGACGGCACGCGGTGGAGGGCGCGACGCGGTGCTTGGCACGAATTCGATGAAGTGGCCATGGCCAAACGGCCCGAATGGCCACCTTCGGCTTCTCGGGCATGGACGTCACAAAGCTCGCCTACCGGCTCACAGGTCGCCGATGAGCCGGTCACGAGCCGACAAGAAACCGGGAACCAATGCGTAGAGCAGATGTACCCACTCAGTGGTTGCATCAAGAGTTGTACAACTGTGCTGTGTTTGAGGCATGCTACAGAGCCGCCCTTCGAGGGGACCATCATGTGCCTTGCATGATTGATTCCCAACAAATCCTCGAAGGAAGCTCTTCGGACCCGCCTTGCCTCCAGAAGGATGGACCTCGCTGTAGGCAGAATGAAGACTGGTCATGACTGGTCAGCTTTCCTTCTGACAATGGGGTCGTTGTCTCAAAGGCCCGCCGATTGTTGATACGATGCTACGCGCGTCCCAAAACCCTTTACTCTGTGTATTTTTTAATTTATATATATATATATATATTTTTTTTTTTTTTGGTTGGCCCGAGCGGGGTAGGCCCACACAGAAGTCCCATGATAGGGCTTCTCTTCACCTAGCCTACCCCCCCTAGGCAGGGAAGGGGGCTAGGCTAGGGTACCCTAGGCCTACAAACAATACTAGTCTTAGAAGCCTTTGGCATGTTTCGAAGGACCATAATCGTTCCTGCACAACTTGCTTTCAGATCTTGGCGTTCAGTTGGGCAAGGGCGCCTTGTATCGTTTGCTGACCACCGACATGTGTCGCTGGGGATGGCTTGTTGAGGACGAGTTGTGGACACACCCTTCTGTGTGCCCTGAAGGGTTCCACTTGCAGTCGGTTCTTGTGAATAGCCATTGGAAGCGGATACAGCATATGTGCAGAGATGCGTGGCGGCTTTACAATCTTCAGTTGTTGGGTGACAGCAAGCGGCATGAGTTCAAAGACCAAAGTCTTCCCCAGGTTACTCGAACGGCTTCATCTTGGGCGTAGCTTTGTCAAAGGCAATGGGCTTTTCTTGGCTAGAGCAATAGGTGCACAGATGTCTGGCTTCGTGAAGGCCAAAGCAAGTTCGCTAAGTGTGGAACAATGACACCCTATTGGGACCAT